TCTTCCTTTCGCCTGTGATCCTCTCCTGTCCCTCACCCAGTAAGTTCTGTTGAAACCCAGCCCAGGGGTCCTCTCCTCCACCAAGCCCTCCCGACCACCCTGATGGGCTGAGGTGTCCCTATGAGCTCAGGTAGGCACAGGCCCACCCCAGTCATAGCCTGTCATGTTGTGTGGTCAGATAGTTCTCCCTGCTTCTCCCGAGAGAGGGCGTGGGCTCAATCCAGCTTATCTGGGTGTGCCCAGGGCCTGGCACGGAGAGAGAGAGAGTGAGGGCAGCAGGGTATGGGGCTCCCCAGAGGAGCCAGGGCATGGGGACAAAGTCTCCCCACCAGCGGGAGGGGCGCCTCAGCTGGCCCTCGCCGGCGGGGCTGCGAGGGAAGCCTTTGGTGCTCATTCTCCACTCGGAGAGCAGCACCCGAGACGTGTGTCTGCTGCATCTGATAATTCCTTTAACCCCTGTCTTCTGCGCTAGACTGACGTTTACGGGGCAGAAGTCAAGTCGATTGTGTTGAGCTCTTGGTACCCGGCCTCTGGCAGCCAGCCCGGCTGGTGCACTGGGCGCTCCTGGGTTCAGCCATCGTTGATCGCTTCCTGTGAACGTGTCTGGGTCTTGTTCTGGAGGACATCCGCAGAGCAATGTTCTGTGATGGTGCCCGAGATGCGTGGACTGAGTCCAGGCCGCAGGCTGCCCGAGCCCACCCCCTACCCAGCTGCAGGCGGGAGCCCTGAGCCAGGGCCCGCGGGCCGCCACCGCCACGTGCTGGCTCTGCCCGAGGAGGAGGCATGGCGACCCCAGCAGTGCGCCCTGCTCGAGGCCGACGCCTCGGAGGAAGTGGGCATACTGCCGGCCTCCCCGCACACCGCCGCCTCCGGCTTCGACAACTTCTTCCCGGTGCAGGAGGGCGAGGGCACAGGCTGGGAGGGCGGCTCCAGCCCCTTCCTCCCCGTGAGCCCGGAGGTGATGAAGCGGAGGCGCGGGGGCCTCATCGAGCAGCGCGACATCATCAAGGCCCACGAGGCGCACAAGATGCAGAGCACCCCGCAGGCCCGGCGCAAGGAGTGGGAGTGAGTACTCTGGGGGTGCGGGGGGCGGTCCGGGGAGCGGCCCTGCTGGGCAGCCAGTGAGGAACGGCAGTGGGCAAGGCCCTGCCTGGGATCTGGTGGGGGGTTCCCTCAGAAAAGGGCCCAGCCAGACAAATGCCTGTGTCTCTAAAGAGGCCCCTGCGGGCAGCCGCCATGTCACTAACCAGCTGTAGGTCAACGCCTCTCAGATGGGGTGAGTCAAGCTTGCTCCCCAAAACACACCTAGCTTACTAAGAGCCATGGAGAAAGGACGGGGGTCTGTTTCACACTGACTTCCCTGAAAAGGGAAGCTCTGTAAACCTCGGAGAAGCCACCAAAATGAGAGTCATCTATCCCGTCTTTCCTCTGGAGCTGCGGCTGACCCTGCCCTTTTTGATGTCATCCTAGTTGAATGATTACATTTTGGGGCCAGTCTTCAGTGGATGGAAAAGATTGACCAAGATCCGCGCCTGTAACTTTACCTCTGATCTTTTTGTACAGAGCAAAAGGACCTATGTTCTGTCTTTGGCCGCCTTTCACCTAATTTGTGCCCATTGAGAACTTGGGCTTTTATTCCCAGGGAGGAATGCCTCCTACTGGGAAGATAATATTTCCTTTAATTCTCAGTCTCCCCAGGTTTATCCCACACCTCAGGGCTTTGTTTTGTCCTTTGGGTGCCAGTGTTTATTCTGCGTGTTTGCGTGTCCTGTGGTCTGTATGTGTTTATCGCCTCCTGCCTTAGATGGTTGAGCCGTGAGATGCCATCAAGGGCAAAGAAACTAGCAACAGGTGCTTTTTGATCATGGTGGTCATGCTGGAACCTACCTACATGGTTCCAGTAGACAGGAGTTGACGAGCTGGCCTCTGGTGGTCTTTCCGTGTGGGTATTAGTCTGTGCTATGTGTTAGTTCATTCATTCATTCACTGAGCCCGGATGCATGCCCGAATCCTGGGATTCAGAGAGTCACTGGGCACCCACACAGATCTCAACAAACCTTCTCTCCTGTTGTTCATTTCCCAGAGCCGTTAGTCTAAAAACCTTACCAGCTCTAAGTGCCAACAGCATTCTAAGCACCTTACCTATATTATTAACTCACTAGAGGCCCGGGGCATGAATTCATGCATGGGTGGGATCCAGCCCAGCCTGCCCTGATGGGGTATGATCAGGCTGGGCTGGCCAGGGGGAGGGGCTACAGGCGGTTGGCCTGCTGGCCCCGCCCCCATCAGGGTCGAGGGGCCGATCGGGATGTGGGGTGGCCAATCGGAGGTGGAGCTGGCCTGGGGAAGCAGCCACTGGAGGTTGGGAGGTGCCAGTCGGGGCCCCGATTGGATTGGTTGGCTGCCACAGTGCACATCATAACGGTGAGTCATTCTGGTCATTTCGGTCGTTCCAATCATTCTGTCGTTCTGGTCGCTTGGCTTTTATATATATAGATGTTAATCCTCACCATTTCTGTGAGGTAGTATAACGATGGTGCACATTTAAACAGTGAGGCACAGAGGAGTTCAGTGACTTTCCCTGGTCACTCCAGGACTTGCTGCATTGTTGCTGTGATTTGTCATTGATTCATGATTTGAACCCTGGCAGTCTTGTTCTAGAATCCATGCTTTTAACCACAATGGCGTAGGGCCTTTTATTCCAGTTCCCACAGCCCTTAACTTCTTGTCTCAACCACCCATTGAGCTGCCATGGCAAGAGCACTGGCTACAGTTCTAATTCCCAGGACCATTCAGTGGTGTGACCTCGATTAAGTCACCTCATCGTGGCTTTGAAAACGAATTGGAGGAAGTGGATGATCATTTGAGTCCCATGCAGCTCTGATGGCTGGGATTTCTGTATATTCAGAAGCACTATATTTGTATACACCTACGTCTTGTTGAGGACTCTCAGGAAGACAACTTGAGGCCAGAGACTGTCTTGCACATTCTTCCTGTCACTCCATGTGTCATACGGCCTAACTCGAGAATGCCTACAGTCCTCCCTGAAAAACTAGCTTCACCACCACTGGCACTATGTGAATAGCTCTGACGCCTTTCTCCAAGTTAAATGTTTGCTCGTTGAAGGATATGTAGTCTAACAGCAGCCGCCTACATGGGGTGGTGGTGGGGATGGTTGGGAGACTGTGTTTTCACCTGGGCAAGTCCATGAGAAGGTGGAGCAGGGCAGACAGAGCAATGGCCAGCTCAGCCTTCCTCAGTGTAGCCATGGAGACCAGTGGCCCTGGTGAAGGAGCCATGTAGAGGTTAAGGAGTGGCAAGGCGGTCAGAAGAAAGCCCGAGAGCACAGGGACAAAGACGTGAAAAGAGGAGCATGCTCATCACAGCCATCGTGTGGATGCTGCTGAGAGGGAAGATACCATGAGGGTGGGGAAGGAAGGCTGGTCTGGCAACACGGAGGTGACCATGGGAGCAGTGTCATAGGGTGATGGGGCAGGGCCAGTGCAGTGGGGTGAAAAGAAAATGCGAGGTGGCCGGGCCAGGGCTGAAGTGTAAGCTTCTTGAAAGCAGCATACAGAACAATGCCTCGTATGTAGTTGGCTCACAATAAATACTTTTTTTAAGAATGAGGAAATAAGTGCTCCGAGGTGGGTTGAGACGTTCTCGCGCCAGCTGGCTTCCAGGGAAGGGCAGCTGAAT